GGGGGGGGGGGGAGACTATTTTCAAATGTCTTGTGTCATGATTGTATTCCTGGTTACATGACAAAACTATGCATTTGTCAAAACTCAAAGAACTGTACCAAAAAGTGAATTTAACTCTACATAAATTTAAAAATAAATTGAAAAGGAAAAGAAAAATTCTGGTCACTAATGCCTAAATTTTAAAATATCTGTGTACCAACCAACCCACAGCTAAGGTAGAACAGGGAACCAGAGCTAAAGGAAATGCCTATTATACCTAAGGGGGAATATATCACTTAGCAGGATAAGGAACACACATATCCTACTAAGGCTGGAGGAGCCATGGAACACGCAAGCCCTGGGTCCCCATGCTGGCCAGAGTGAAAACTGGGCAGCTCCTGCTAAGGGAACTACAGGATGCCAAACACAAAAGTAAGCAAGCACAGAGGCTATATGCCCCCAACCGGGGATTGAGCCTGCAACCCAGGCATGTGCCCTGACAGGGAATCAAACCCCGATTGCCTGGGTCCTAGGCTGACGCTCAACCACTGAGCAGCGCCCGGCCGGGCTAAAATATCTCAGCTTTAAAAAAAACATGGTCAAAAACCAATGTTATATATCACCATATTAATAAAGTAAAAGACAAAACCACACAATCATCTCAATAGATACCAAAAAACTATCTGAGAAAATCCAACATCTATCCCTGGCAAAAACTCTTAACAAACCAGGAGTAGAAGAAAACATCCTCAATCTAATACGATCCACAAACAACACAGCATGCTAAGTGAAAGAAGCCAGTTCATTTCTATGAGATGTCCAGAAATGGCAAATCCATAAAACAGCCAGTAACAAATGTATAGAGACAGAGAGTAGATTAGTAGTTTCTAGGTGTTGAGGAGCTAGGGAATGGGGAGAATTGGGAATTATTAATAAAATATTCTAAGGTTAGACTGTTGTGATGGTCACATACAAAAAGCCACTGAACTGTACAGTTTAAAAGGGTAAAATTTATGGTATATAAATTATATCAATAAAGCTTTTATTTATAAAATGCATTCTTCAGAGTTTGAGAAGACCTTGTTACAAATCATAGAATCAGATTTACCCAAAAAAGGTTCACAAGTAGTTTTAAGTGATATTTAACATAAAGAATAATCTAACTTTTGTAGACTGCCTCAAAGGTTCATTCTTACCACAAATCTACTACAAGGAGAGAGCCAACTTACTTCCAAATACATTTATCGCTCAAAAGCAACTTCCTACTACCAATTACAAGACACGGGACAAAAATAAGATAAAAATGACATTTTTTCCCATGCTTACACAAAGATAAGCAAGTTTCCCCTTTTATGAAATATGAACAAGGAAAATATCCAAAGCTTGGATAATTAAATCATTGAGCACAGCCTGCACTAACAGGGTTAGTTTGGAATCACAGTTCCAAACAGGGCAGTCATGACACTCACCTCAAGCTCTTCACTGTCTTTGGGCTTCTCCTCAGAAGTCTGTTTAACAAAGTCAGGGATGAGGATTTCCAGAGTAGCTCGGGCTGTGAAAAAAAACCACCACCCTGAGGATGAGGGCTTGGGTCCAGCCTCCTTCCCAAATACAGAGCAAGCTACACTGGCTCCTCTACAGGGAGGACCACGGACCCCAGGGACCCCATGGCTCAGGGGCACAAGGACCCCAGGGAGCAGCAGTACTTTAGAGACAGGGACAGCAGTGGATGGAAAAGAGCACATCCTAAGAAAAGGAGGCAGTGATTGAGGCACTTTTGCCCTGAGGCACTTGTAGCAGGTCAAGGAAGAGAAAATGTGCATTTCAGGGGAATCATGTGACATGCAGGCAAATGGCTCAGCAGAACCTGAACCAAGTAGGGAGGACTACAAACTGAGCAGGTTGTGTGAATGTGGCAGGGAAAAGCAGCCAGATCAGATGGATCCCCTGGAGAAAGCATCTGCAGGACAGAGCACAGGGATGACTCCATGCTGAGTACAGATGCCTGAGTGAGCAAAGCTGCCCCTCACCACTGGGATGGGAAAGTGGGACACTGGGGGAAGGGTGTGTGTGACAGTCTGACCCTGTAGGGTTGTAGCGCTAGCAAGACATCCAATTGCAGGTAGAGAGCAGCTGGGGTCTGGGCAGAAGTGGATCCCTACACAAGGGGAGATTGCAGAAGGGTCCTGCCACCACAATATCTCCACCCCCCATGCTGGGCCCTGCTCTGTGCCTTATCTGCTCCATGGCCCCAATAACACCCAGTCTGTTGAGCTGAAAAAGTCTTTTGGCAGAGTTTCTCAAAAAATGGACAAAAGGCTTTCCTAGAGAACGAGGCGCAATGTGAGCCCAGCACAGCCTCACAGAGAAAGGACAGACAATAATGTATTATTCCAATTGTACTCAGCATACACCATCAAAAGAAAGGAACACCAAGGGAAACACTGAGTTCCATGAGCAAAAACATTTTCACTGACCTAAGACCCAGTGAGACTTTAACAAAACTGACTTACTTCACATTCTGTGAAGGGCAGAGCTGCTCTGGAAAGTAATATAGGAATGGTAGAAACTGTAAGAACTGACCTATGGGTACCAGGGCCTAGGGTGCACCACACATCTACCCTGCAATGTGGTCCACTCCTAAGAAGAGGCCAAATATCCCTGATGCTGGGGTAAACAGCTTTTGGAAAAGAATGCCAGTAACTACTAGTGCTGGGCCAAAAGCAAGCAGCACATACACAGTCAAAAAGAGCAATGAATTTTAACCAGAAAACAAGCTTTCCCATGGATCTGGTATGTGTTCAATGAGTGGCAGTCCCAAATTTGGAGTCTGAACGACTCAGGAAATCATCCTCACAAATGTCAAAACCACTTGAAGAGAATGCCAACAGCATGCTGATTCACCTGTTCTTCATCTCCTAGCATGCCCACGTTTTGCTGTTTAAATACAAACCCACTCTAGAACATGTGCCCAGCACAGCCAAGTCAGCTCTGTGAGTAGGGAGGAAAAAGGGTTGGGAGATTTCAGCCTGGCTGCCAATGAGTAGAGAAGGAAACAACTCTTATTTCTCAGGTTTTACTTTCTATATTTAACTTTCCCAATGAGCACATAATTTTTAAAAATCAAAATAGATAATTACATAAACAAAATGGATTTTCCCCACCCATATCCCTCCCACTTGGGCTGCTGCTCAGCCCTCCCCAGCCAAGAGGAGGGCCAGACACAGCGGGTAGCATGGGGCTTTGACACCTAAGCAGGCACATTACCAGCTTTATTCTTCGCAAGTTTTTTGCTGCTTGCAGTTCCAGATCCATAGGTCACACCATCAATGGTCACCGAGGCGCCAAAAGGCTCACTTGGGTTCTCTTAAAATTAAAATTACTGTTTTAAAACACACTTGGCAAGACATTAAAAGCGGGCTTGTGCGCACGTGAACGCACACACACACACACACACACACACACACACAATCTGCTCATACCAACAGACAAGTTGGGGCCAAGACTGCTGCTGGAAGGCAGAGAACTGAGGACTCCGTGAGGCACTGAGATGGGACTGAGATGGTCAGCAGGGAGAGAACACAACAAGAAAATTTCAAGAAAGGGGGACCATGGGATAGTGAGCTGGAGGAGAAACAAGAGGTCAGAGACAGAGACACAGGGACCAACGTCTGTGAAAGACGGACAGAGGACTGTGAGAGGCAGGGATGCACAAATGTAGTAAGCCAAAGAAATGACATGAAAAACAATTAGTAATTCCTAGGTTCTGGCTTCCAAGGGAACACAAATTGGTTTTCACAAAGGTATGACATGGAAGAACAGGAGACAGCTGATGGCAAGTGCAGGCCTGAAGTCCATTCATCCACCTGGGGGAGCCTAGAGACAGTGGGAGGCCTTCCTCGGAGCAAGGAACAAAAGATGATGGGGGGAGGGAGGCGTATGAACAATAAAGGGGGAAGCAGAGGCAGTGATCCTTAGGCTGGACACATTCCATAAAAATGAACTGTCTATCCGCAACATCCTTCTCCTGTCCTTCCCTTTCATTTCTATCCCAGCAAACAGCCAACTCCCTCCTCCCCAGCCATGACTGAAGTTAGGTGTGTGACTTTAAGACTGAGACGAGGAAAGTCAAACTTACCACATTCAAAGAAATTATAAACTGGGCGGACCTTGAGGACACGCTGCATGTACTCGTGCAGGATGCAGACCTCGGATTTCCCGTTGGGGTTAATGACAAATTCTGTGACAAGAAGGACCAGCTCAACAACAGTCTGAGAACCCCACTATAAGCTAGCACTCGGGACCTGGCACCATCCAAGTTACCAAGTTATTGAATTAGAGGCTCACTGCCATGAATGTGTTGGACCTCTGCATTCATAGGGTAAATGTAAGCTTTGAATTAAAATGCAACTCACACACAAAGTATACATTTTAAGAACATCAAATGAAAAATAACAGTATAACCACTCTGCCAATGTTACAATTTACAAGCCTCAACTCACCTTTCTTCGTGGGTGCATCCTGCACAGATAGAGTAATGAGCTTCTGATTGGCCGGCAGGATGGGCCTCTCGGACTCCGCCTGTTTCCGTTTCATTTCTCGATTAAACTGCCGCCGCTCAGCCCAAGTTCTGAATTTCTTCACAGTAACTTGCTCAAAGTCAAAACGCTTCTCCAGGTAGTTCCGAAATTCCTCAAGATCTGTAAAAGATTTACCAGAGAACCAAATTACTAATTTTCAATGTAAGTTGTTTCCTCTGCCCAGTGAACAGGACAGCGATGGCCTGCCCATCAGACAGGCCCCACCATGCGATACCCACTGCTCTTTCCGTGCCTCTTTCGAAGGGCATGGAAAGCAAAGAAAGGTCCCTTCACTCAGCCAGCTCAAATTATTCTGACAGGTCCTTATGAACAAACTTCTGGGATATTCTTTTAGTTAATTTGAAGCAAGAACAAGGATTTTAAAAAAAGAAATAAAGCTTAAAAAAAATCAGATGGCCTTTAAGGCTGTCACCCCCATATCAAACAGGGACATGACTGCCAAAGGCACTCAGGGGGGCTGTGCATCCACTGCCCATCTTGCTCTCTCTCTCCCCTCCAGCCACCCTGGCAGCCTCCAAATTCAGTCACACACTCAGGCAGCTCAGGCCTTGGTACTCATCATGCCTCTCCCCACTTGGTCCCTGGCTCAGACCCACAGCTCATCCAAGTGTCTTGCCTCCATTGAGTACTCCTCCACCCCACCATTCAGTGAAGTTTCCAGGAGCCTCCCACTTTTACCATTACACCTACTACCCCCTTCTCCCCAGGACTTCCTAGAGGTTCCCATCAGCCTCAACAGTTTCCTGCCTGCCTCCTACCACTCAAGCGTGTCATCACACCCAGCCCTAAGAGAAGTCCCACATGAAGGTGGAGACAGGGGTTATGTGTACAAAGACCAAGATGTAGTGTTTTAAAACAAAAGAATGCAAAACAATATGCTTGCACCTACTTAACTATAAACTGAAACTACATACTTCTTTATATATGAATGCAGAGAAGTGACTCTGGAAATAAGTACCAGTGGTCACCTCTCACAGAACAGGTCAGAATTGAGAGGCAGGTGTTTTAGAAAAATAGGAACACATTCATTTACATGTGCATAAAAGATGGTATGAAAAAATAAACTGGTCTCAGAGAGCTCCCTTCCAGCTAGGTCGCTGAGAAAAGCCCCAACACACCAACAGAAGACAGAGGAAGCTGACTTGGATAGGGGAGGAAGGCATACCAGGCAGACAAGTTGAGGGGAGACCAGGTCCATCCACTGGGGGGAACTGGGAGACCAGTAAGACTGCCCTTTCCCCAGATGTCCAAGGCTCCAACCAGCACACTGCTTCTCCCCCCCGCTAGCAATTCTAGGGCTCCTTACATGGAATAGTTATGAGACAAGCCAAGCAGCAATACAATCAGAAAACCTGAAAACACAAAGTCCTCTTTGAAAAGATTTAGCAGGTGTACTAAAACAGTTTGCCATCACTGACGAGACAACTAAGACTTGAATGGGTAGCCCGGCTGGAGTGGCTCAGTTGGCTGAGCATCGTCCTGTGCACAGAAGGGTTGCGGGTTCAATTCCCCAGTCAGGGCATGTATGGAAGGCAATCAACTGATGTTTCTCTCTCACATCAATGTTCCTCTCTCTCTCTAAGCGTATCCTTGGGTGAGGAATAAAAATAACAGTAAATTTTTTTTTAATTAAAATGCTTAAAAAATAAAATTAAATAGGTAGAACTAACCTAAAAGACACAGAAGAGTGAGAAACACCAACACACACCCGCAATTGCAGGATTTAAGCATGAAATGTCCACAAAATAGTGACAGTTTCCCAACAATGAGTCCATGGATTGAAGCAGCCCACTCTGAGTGCATCAGGATAAATCAAAATGTCACACAGAATACATCCTACTGAAAAAAGACTTCAGGAAAGAACATAAAAATGACCAGAGAAAAGGTCAGTCCACACTAACAGTAGCCATCACCACGGCAGCATTGGCCATATTGACCCTGCAGAGCCCAAGAGCAGGGGCCTAGGGCGTGGGACCCAGGTAGGTTCTCCAAAGAACAGGGAGATGGGCCTTTCCAGCCATGCAGAGGTAGACAGAGGTCTGAGCAGTCCCTTCCTCACAGACATAACTAGGAACAGGTGGTCATCAGCAGAAGGAAGGGGATCCAGGGAAGGCATGGAATGTAGTAGCATCCCTGCAGACAGTACAAGGTGGCAAAGGGGAAAGAAAGAGTTCAGTCTGGAAACTTACCAACTGATTCGTCTTTGCACACCTCAACTTTGGCCTTCACCTGCCCCAGGGCCCCAGGGGCAGCCTCAGCTCCCAGCAGGTCCTTCTCATCTGGGGGCCCCGAGTCGGCCCCCATGGAGTCAGGCTCTTCCAGGGGAAACTCCAGCTCTGCAGATCGGCCGAGGGGCTTGACAGGGGATACCTCCCCACTAGGGGCAAGCTCACTGTTTTGCTCCCTCTCCTCATTGTCCTTCATTTTCTTGTAATGCAGACAAGGGATGCTACTCAGAGGAGGGTCATGTTTCTGTGGGTAGTAAAATTGCAACAGATTATAAGCATGAACCCGGATGTCTGAATATCTGATGTATTTCACCTGCCTCGGCTTGGATATGATGCAGTGTGTGCAGATGTGCATGTTCTTGTCTTTGAATTTACAAGACTAAATTCATGACTGATGCATTCCCTACCCGTATGCTTCCTGTTCCCAAGAAGTATGGCCTGGACCAGGTGACCACCCGAGACTCTCTGTGTAGGTACACGGGGACTCCGGAGTTATGGAATGTCATGATCCACCCATCAGGCAATGGTTCTGTAGGTGGGCGGCCACGACCTGCACAGAAGAACATCCTATAATCACTTGCAAAACACAAAAGCTATTGGGATTTTTTTTAAATTGACATACAGCAGATAAAAACGGTAAAACAGACCAAATAGTGAAAAGAACCTCTAAGAACTAAGCAAGTAGGAAAGTGCCCCACCTTCCGGATAGAGCCCATCCCAGCCCTGTCTTGTTGCTTGGTACCTCCCAGCACGTTCTGTGCATGAAATTGTGCTCTCCTTGTACTTGTTTATCTGGGTTTAACCAACAGAGTCTAAGTCCCTCTTTGACAGCAGGGAGCTGCCTGCCTTGCTCACTTTTTACTGCTATGCCTAGAACAGCATGTGGTGCATGAAGGAGCCTCGGGGCTGCCTCCAAAGCTAGTGAGGACCATGGACACTCAATTGCTCACCTTCCTGCACTGGCTGTGGTCAGAGACACCCTGAGGCTGGGCAAGCTTTGCAAATAAACTGCACATCTGTTGAACACTACTCCCTGGGACCAGATGACAAACTTTCATTGTAACTAAGCTGCAAAACTCTCACCAGCATATAAAACACTACTTCAGCCCTGGCCAGCATGGCTCAGTGGTTAGAACATCAGCCCGTGCACCAGACATGGGTTCGATTCCCAGTCAAGGGAAGTATCTGGGTTGTAGGTTCGATCCATGGCCCTGGTAGGGGCTGGAGCAGGAAGCAACCAATCGATGTCTCTGTCACATTGATGTTTCTTTCTCTCTCTCTCTGTCCTTCCTCCCTCCCTCCCACTCTCTCTAAAAAAAAAAAAAAGAAAATAAAAAAGAGGCAATGGAAAAAATACCCTTGGGTGAGGACTGAAAACAACAACAAAACACTAATTCAAGTTAGTATATTTCTAAATCAGTTTTAAAACACTACTCACAACCCCTTCCTTGCTTTATAGGCAATCAATAAAAAGCTCAAGACTTGTTATCCACTTGATACCAAGCCCAGCTGCTGGGAAAAGCATAAGTTAAAATTTTTGGAAACAAAGCAAATGAAATCTACAAAAATATATACACAATGAAAACAGCACCACTGACTCTCATGAAAAGGAGTGGCACCCCAGTATCAGGTCGCCACCCAGAAAGGAGGGCTGGCCCTAGGCCTGACACCCACAGTGGCCTATACTGGACAGCTGGCCCCTGGGAGGGAGTGCTCCAGGTCAAAAGTGCATCAACCCTGTCAGGCACTCTCCCCAGTGAGCCAAGGGCCAAAGAGCTGCCTTACACCAACTGTGAGCTAAGTCAGAAGAAGCAAATGAAATACAAGCCAAGCACAGGTGCATCCAGGCCACTCATTTATGACTACGAGTGGTCATAAAGTTGCCCTGGCTGTCTAAAGAGATTACATGCCACTCATATGCAGTCTGTGAGCATGAGGACCAAACTGCACTCCTAAGAGGGAGGCACCACTGCCAGGCAGGCTGCCAGATGGTGAAGCTGCAGAGTGAAAGGCAGTGCCCATGCAGGTAGGCCAAGTGGCCAGGCATACTGCTAACCTGTACACTGCTCAGGACCGACACAACTTTATCTGCTAAGAATGAGGTTGCTGAAACCACAAAAAGAGCACAAAGCAAATCTGCCAGAGGTACCGAGGTGAAGACTGCCCCTCAACCCTTTCTCAGGAAATAAGACCCAAGTTCATCTCTGTCGGCAATCAATGAATCCAACACCTGTCCTATTCCAACCACTAGCCAACACGGGCAGACATGCCTGCCGACCACTGACACATCCACTACACAGCCAGGGGAGAATGCATACGACCCGCCCCTTGATTTCCTCCCATCACATTTCATCATCTTCTACACCCTGCACCTCAGCCTAAGCTGTCACCTGTCTGCCCACCTGAGTCCCCAAGCATCTCTTCAGCCCCTCTCCACTGTCCGACTGCCCAGCCCAACATCTCCACCTGGACACTCACAGGTGCCTCCAGGACAGGATAGACAGAAACCAATAGACTCCAGACTGGCACTGCACTGGCAAAGGAGCTTGGCAAACAAAACTCTGGGTGTCTCCCCACTGCTCTCCACACTGTCCTCAAACCCAAGTGTAAATCCCACTGCCTGCACCTTCAGAACATCTCCACCTGTACACCAGGAGCTCCCACCATGCCCACCTGAAGTACGCATGTCATTCTGCAGCCACAGGAGTCATGCACTTAGATAAAAATTGTTTAATATTTGTATGCTTTTTTTCCCACCAGCTATAAAGATACATTTTTTTCCAAATTATCAGTATCCTTTTAATTTTAAAATATATGTTTGTTTTAAAAACCAAATCATTAGGTTTAAGATTTTTTATTGAGAGCAATTATGCTACAATAAGGCTTACTCTACCATCTACCATCTTTTGTTTTATTTTGTTTTCAAAATCTGCTTTCTTCTAGTGGCTTTCCCCGAGAGCAAAAGAGTCTAGAACTTGGACCTTGACCTTCACTTGCCACCATGCTGAGCACCCACCTCTAGCCTCAGCCTCTACACATTGGATGCTTGTCTTGTCGTCTCACCAATGTCCCCTCCTCAGGGGTCCCCTCCCAGTTCCTCTCCAAGACACCAGCCTCTCTGGTTTCCACAGCACACACCATGATCTGCATCTGGGTGGTAGTGCTTCTGGGTGCATCCTTGGGTCTTATCTGTTTTTCCTTCATCAGACATGATTATCTTGCCCTCAAAAGCGTGCGCAGACTGCTGTCTGGTATTCCAAAAGGCTCTCAAACCTACACTTTCGCGAACACTCACTACTTTTTTACCCAACTTACTTTTGAGCACTGTTTTAATCTTGGTCATCATTGGCTGCACACTTGTCTCTCCATCAGATGGATGGTCGCTGTCTCCTCCATATTTCTCCTCCACTCTCCTCTTTTTGGGAGCACAAAGGCCTTCTTCCAACAGAGCATCAACATCGTTGTCAAAATCATCCTGCAAAACATACTGTTCAGACACCATGGCCCTGGCACCTACATTCCTGCACCATGGGCAAGCTTAATGACACTAGTGAGAAAGGACACAGAAATGAGGCACTCTGGAAGGGACCTAGATGTGCCTTTATGGTGCATGATCATCTGAAAAACAAACAGGATGAAACCAACAACTGAAGCCAAAAGGCTTGGTCCCGGAGCACATCTCAGCAGCACTTTCCAACTCAGGTTGGGTAAAAGGTACAAGGCTGACCTGTCAGCCAAACTTTTTATTAATTTAAAAATCTGGACTCTTTATGGCTGTCTCTTTTCCACATTAACGTTATTCCACCTCAAATGGGCTTTTTTTCTCTGCAACATCAGCTTACAAAAGATGCTGCAGTTCCCAAACACCTCTCTTTGGGTTTTGTTAAGAGCACTCCAAAGGAGAGGTCACCGACATACCTCGTAGGAGAAATTCAAGGCCTCTTCATCCATTCTGTCTCTTTGCACGATTGCTTTAGCCGTGAACCCGCCTGCTCCTTCTTCATCTAGCTCCAAATTGTCAGTAAAATCTTCTAACTCATCGAGCACTGCATACTCCACTCTCTTTTCCTGATCCAGCTCATTCTCCTCATCCTTTTTATCAGCACTCTCACCCCCTATGCCTACCCCATTACCAACACTCCCGCCAAAGGGACAAGCATGCATGTCTCCACTGACAGGGCTAAGGGCCAGACCGCACTCTGCACGAGCGTCGCGCTCCACTCCTGTGTACAGCACCTTCCTGTCCTTACTCCTGCAGCTCTCGGTAAAGCTCACACTAATCTTTACATCCTTAAGCAACTTAAGGTCAGGGGAGAACTTCCGGACCGCAGGTGCGTGCCGGGCGGTGCGCGGGCTGTAGCCACTACAGTTCGGGTCTATGAGGAGGCGGGCTTTAGAGAAGGATCCTTTGGAGAGAAGAGAAGCTCCGTAGAAGTTGAGTGGGTCCTCAGCAGGGGGTTCGGCCTGTCCATCACCACCAGAGCCAACGTCCATTACCTCTGCATCACTGGACGTTTGCAGGGGAGGTGGTGGAGACTGTTCACGGGGCAGCGCTTGGAGGGGGCAAGCACGTTTCTCCATCACTGCTTCTCCTGCGGGCTCACGCGGGAGAGGAGAGGGACTCTCATATGTCTCCATAGTAAAAGTGGTTAAAACTATTTTAAAAGACCAGTTTTTAAAAACCTTACATAAATCTATACAGCTAACATGCACAAGTCCGTTGAGACCCGGTGCCGTCCTGCCCGCGCTGCACACGCTGGCGGCTTAGTCAAGCTGGCCACATTGCTCTTTTCATTAATGTAGACAGCTTTTAGAACCACTGCCTCAATTATTGGAAATCACAATGCACTCAGCTTAAATGACTGACGACTAAGCGAGTCTGTCTTCATGCCAAAGTGGCACCTTTCTTCTTCTACCTGCAAAGAGATTTAAAAACATCGTCACAAAATGACAGAAACCTTTCGCTTCCCTGGTACCAAAAGTCAAGTGCTATTAACATTGTAGCAAAGAAAATAATACTGCCTAAGAGAACCTTTTAGGCTTTAAAACAAACTGCCTTTACTTTGTTTCTTAGAACCTAAATGATAGTAAGTCCAAAGTTAAATACTTTATTTAATAGTCCACTGTAGTTCCTACTTCAGAAGCATAAACACAATATTTAATCTTAAGGCTCAAAAAGATTAAAAAAAAAACCTACACTGAACTTCACCACAGCATTCCACTAACTCAGTTTATTAGGTAAGCAAGCACGTGGTGCAAGGCTGCCCTTTCCAGAACACACATAAGGTGTGTGGCCTTCCTCCGGCCATCAGAGCAACATCAATCTACTCACCTGCTAGGGCCGGGTCAGTCAGAGGGTGAGCACGAGACCCTCAGCTCAACTCTGCAGCACTAGGGCCTCAGAGGTACGGCCAGGCACTCTGCTACCCTGGAACCCCAGGGCTCTCCTGGGCCCACAAGGTGGCACGTGGACCGGGATAGTGATGCAGCGTGCTGAAGTTGCCAGAGGTGGCGTGGTTCTGTTCCCAGTAGAGGAGGGGGTGTGGCTGTGGGAAGGGAGCCAGGCCAGGGTTGGTGGGGCAGCTGCAGGAGACAGCTGGAGCCAAGGCACAGGGAGTTCTAGGTACCATCTGGAGCCTGGCTCCATCCTGGGGGCAATGAGGAGCCACCCAAGGTGAGGCGACTCTCATGCCACAGTTTAATCCCTATTTGAGAAAGGAGACTAACCCCTGTGCCCAAGGTGTAGGAGTCCTGTAGGCCAGAGGGCCAAGGTGTGAAAGAGGAACAGGAGCCTTTAAGAACAGTGAAGACACCGAACTAACCACTCTGCTGAATGGGTAGATGTGGAGAGCACAGACAAGAGGTAACTGAAAGCAAATGAGGCTTTTCCCTGGAGGACACATGTTCCAACATTCAGGCAGGAGCCAGTAGAGAATAGATGAAGCCTCCAGGCAGACCTGTGCAGCAGGTGCTGAGGCCACAGCTCTGGAACTGTTAATGGCCCAGAGAAAAATGGCCAGAACACATTAGGGAGGTGGTAGTCATCAAAACCACAGAAGAGAGGCTGCCCAGAAAGGGAACACAGACAGAGAACAGGGTTGAGGACACAACTCTGAGAAGATTCACTCCAGAGGAAGCACGACAAAAGGGCTGATACGAGGCTGAGAAGGCAGCTCAGAGGGGCAATCCAAATCCCAGAGGTATGCAGGAGGCCTGGGTATCAGAGCAAATGCACATGCAGGTGCGCGCGCACACACACACACACACACATGAATATGCCATGCACAGGGGTACAGATACACTCATGCATGCCCATATATGCACGTGGCAGCGTGACTGGTTGCACAAACAGGAATCAGCAGTTATCACACATTTTAAAAGTTTGGGGTAAAGGAACACAGTGTGGTGGTTGTACTTTGAAGATGGCACAACATAAAAACCAGGAACTTGTTTAGATTTAATCAATTCATTCAACAAATACTGTCCACTCCAAGGCACTACCATGAATAGGAGAAAAGGTCCCCACCACCTGGACACAGTTGAAAGGGCAATGATCACCGAGCTGTCACTCTATTTCCAAGATTCTAAGGTGTCCTTACTGTTCTGATTTCAATGGTAACTTAACACAGTACCTCCCCAGAGCTGTGTCCATCAAAGGTGTTAAGGATGAAGGAACTGCAGCACACAGATAATGACAGATAGACTGAACTGCAGTAAACACACAAGAGGCTGCAACCAGAGAGGCACCAGGAACACTAAGTAGAGTACTGCCAGTCTCCTGGCAACCAAGAAAGATCATTTTAAGAGAAGGACACGCAGGTCAGTATGCCCAGTACTACAGAACACAGATCAGACCAGGACCAAAACCCTCAACACCTGGCAAGTCTGCCCAGACTCCAGCTAGAGTCAATCCCTGACTCTAGGGGCTGGGGAAAAAACCTAAAATGAGCAAGATATGAGGACATGGGGGGATTGAAGACAAATGGCAGTACAAGATGGAGAATGCCTGCTACCATGTTAAAAGGCTAAGAAGCGGCCATGTAGAAGCACAAAGCAAAGATGACAATGATAATATAACAAGGAGGCCTTGAAGAGGTGCACAGGGTGGGGCTGGAGAGCTGTGGAGAAAACTGTGAGCTCCCTGGGAAATCAGGAAAACCTGCCCAGCCCCAGAGGGCAACAGCTCGAGATGCAAAACCCCACAGTGGGGCAGTCCTGGACAAGTTTCTTACTTTCCCTCCACAAGCTTTGACTATTCATTCAACAAGTGCTTGCTGAACACCTTCGATGTGGTGCACACACACTATCCTAGATGCTGAGGACACCAAACAGACAAAATTCGTGCCCCACAGAGCTCACATTTTAGCAGGAGATGGTCAAGTAACAACTACGAAAAACTGAGAAGTGCTCAAGAGAAAACAAAGCAAGGAACTGGGGAAGGGGAGGCAGCTTCAGAAAGGGTGGACAGTAAAGGCCTCGCAGCCAGTGTCCATCTGAAGGTAAGGAGAGTGAGTCAAGTGGGTAGTGGGGGTGTGAGGAAGGGACATTCCAAGCACACAGAGAAAACAAAGGCCCTGGGGTAGGAGTGTGGTGTGGCAGGTGAGAGCAGTATGCCGAGGGTGAATGAGAGGAAGCCAAGTCTGTGAGGGTGAGCAAGACCAGGACTCTGGCTCTTGTCTTGAGATGGGCCACTGGACAGGAAGGTCCAAGCAGTGAGGTCACATGACCCAAGGACAGCAGTGGCAGCCAGCTCTCAGCCGACCCTGTTCTAAGTGCTCCATGCATTTTCATTCTCCAGTGCTCACACAGCACTGAAAGGTTAAGCAATTTGCTCAAGGTCACACAGCTAGAAAAGTGGTGGAGCTGTTTTACCACCCAGGCAAGTTGATTCCAGTCTGTACTGCAATGTAAAAGAACCATTCTATGTCCAGAATTTTAGGAGGGGGTTGAGGGGAAGGACATGGGTGAGAGCAAAAAGAATTAAGAGGCTTACCAGGCTTAAGCCGAAATGGTCCTGAGGGTTGTATGTAGGCCTGAGAGGAATCCAGGTGGCTCCAAGCTCAAGAACAGAGCTGTCATGCACTGAGGTGGTGAAGGCAGCATGAGGAGTGTTTTGGGGTAAAGATCGGGGTTTAAGTTTGGACATGGCTACTTGGCATCAAAGTAACGCAGAGATGTGGAAGAGGCCACTAGAAAAGTCAGGCTGCAGTTCAGATGGAAGGCTAGGGCTGGAGATGGGGATGGAGATGTCAAGGAGAGACGGCATTAAAGTCACGAAGCTGGATGAGATCACCAAGGAGAGGAGGGCAACTACAGGAGAGGCCATGACTGGGCAAACCAATCAGAAGTTTCCTACCCCCAAGGTCATGGTTAAACTATAAAACAACACTTGGGAACTGCCCCACACAGTGCCTGGCCATAAAGGACTCAAAAGATGGTTCATCTTGCCACTGGCCTCACTAGTGCTTCAGATGATCTAACACATGGATGCAAATCTTGCTTGCCAAGTGGACTGTAAGCCAGCAGCAGACTCACAGCAGGCTTCCCTGAATCCCTGACACAGGGATAAAACCAACATACTTGGACAGCACCCTTTGTTGGAGTCCACTTACTGGGCTGGCATGGAGGCACAGCTGTGATAGTACAAAGCTGTGGCTGCTGCCTTTTGGTCAAGCCTCTCCTCCTGCGGCTTCCCGCCCAGCCCAGCAGCAGTATGACCTCATCCATTCCTTTTGTCATCCTCCAACTCACAGGCAGCACCAACGACTGGCCATTCACTCCCTTTGGTGAGCGAAGGCCAGTGACGGGGTTGCCCACAGCCTGGTGACTGAGAAGTCCATTCTGCTGCCAGGAAAGAGAGGGTCCTGTCCTGGTAGTTGGCCTCGCAGTCATCAGCACTAGACTGGACTGCCCAGCATCGAGCATCGGGTAACAAGGTACATGCAAACATGCAAAAACGTAAATCAAATTCCTACCATGAGCAACCCAAGTCCATCAGATGATATTTGACAGGTACAACTGTCAACAGGTTGCCACCTTACATTTATTTCTACCACGATCATTGTTATAGCAAAAGCACATTCCGGTTATCTATGTGATAATCAATTCATGAGTATTCAGGGGACGAAAAGACTTGGGCGGCTTCTCAGATTTCCCGCAGGGTCCTAAGCGAGCACTACAATGTTCATACCTTTCCCGCCTGAAAGCGATGCTAAGGCTTCGGGCCCACAGGGCGAGGGGTTTCTTGACACTCGCGCGGTTAACTTGGGCGGAAAGCGACCGGCGTTGGCGCCACCTGGGCCCCGGGCCCGCCCC